GCTCAGACATATACACCTATGTAATCAGCATACTACTTGAATGCACAAGTTACATGCTTAGACATATACACTTTTGTAATTAGCAGACTATTTGAACGCACAAGTTACATGCTTAGACATATACGCCTATGGAGATAGTATCGTGAGCAATCGGGCACCCGAGGCTGCTTGTATATTCGCAGATAGAGATATAAACATTTCTATTAGGCTAGATATGTAGGAAACCTTGTTTTCGGGTCTGACCTACGTTTTAACCAATTCCGCGCCCACAATATCTGACACATGGAATTCGTTGGACAGCACTGAAGTTCGAAGTTTCCTTTTCAAAAACATCTGTAATGGTTGGTGCACAAAAAGAATACACATGTAAATGAAATTCAGGCAAACCAATAAAGTATATTGTGGTTTCTCGGCGACTGTATGCAAGTATCTCACTTATACTGGTTTGGCCTTGATAGTAATAGTGATAGGTTTGGCCTTGATAGTAGTAGAGACAGGTTTGGCCTTGATAGTAGTAGTGATAGGTCTGGTCTTGATAGTAGTAGTGACAGTTTTGGCCTTGATAGTAGTGACAGGTTTGGTCTTGATAGTAGTAGTGCCAGGTTTGGCCTTGATAGTAGTAGTGATAGGTCTAGCCTTGATAGTAGTAGTGACAGGTTTGTCCTTGATAGTGGTGACAGGTTTGGCCTTGATAGCAGTAGTGCCAGGCTTGGCCTTAATAGTAGTAGTGCCAGGTTTGGCCTTGATAGTAGTAGTGCCAGGTTTGGCCTTGATATTAGTAATGACAGGTTTGGCCTTTCAGACAGAACAATCATACAATACGTGGTCGGTTTACTACTTTAGAGAAATGCCTGCGATGGCAGCACCAAAAAATCCGCAAGATATATGAATGCCATGTGTACTATAAAAGCATACTCTGAAGACTTCCATATACCAAGTATGTGGTATGTGATCAGATAGCAATGGCGGTTCAAGTGCTTAATGTATGGAAAATTAATGTTATAGTCTCATTGAAAAGACAGATTGGATCTTTTGTGGACACAGCGAAATTGGGATTAGCGTAGAGCAAATGTACCACAACTTACTGTGTAGCTTACGACAACACCTTTGGCTGCCACGCTCGTGCCTTGATCGAGTTGTAACATACTCATGGACTCAGTTAAATACATAGCCTTTTCAAAACGAAACAACACCGCAAAGCAAGCCCCACGAGTACAACATACGATACCGTAGCGGTGCAGGGCAAAGTTCGGAACAAAAATAGCAATAGTCGAATGAGAGCACTTATCGACAACAATGCGTGGAAGAATATGTTCGGCGGTTTGCAATCTGTTACAAACAACGTCACACAATCACACAAGGCACTCAACAATTGCATCACACATAACACTGCACAACTGGCAACCCGGGTTCACAGTTGGCTTTCAATCCGAAGTGTATAACCATTTGCATGGTTCCACGTACCGATTCGAGCATCTCTTTGCCTTTGGCACGATTGATGATGCCCAGGGTTTCCTTGCGACCCTTCTCAAAGCTCTTGACAAATATGCCTGCACAAGAAAATGTTTTAGGTGTGGAAGTTGGAAGGTTGTATTTGATAGTCGTTGTGTATGTACAAGATCACATACGCATGCACGTGTAGC